GGGTGGGGGCCCGGGCGGGGGGCTGCTGCTCGCGCTCGCCGTCCTGCTGCCGCTGGTGCTGCTGCTGGCGCGCAGGGCGGCCCGCGCCTGCACTGACCTCGCGCACATGCGCAAGGTGGCGGCGGACATCCCCGGGCCGCCCGGGCTGCCCCTCATCGGCAACCTCCTGGACGTGGTGAGCGGCGGCGACGACCGCATCTACGACAACATCTGCCGCCTCATGGACCGCTGGGGCCCCACGGTCGGCATCTGGCTCGGCCCCGAGCTGGTCGTGTCCGTGGCCGACCCGCGCGATGTCGAGTACGTCTCCACCAGCAACGAGCTCATCGACAAGTCGCCCTTCTACGGCGTGCTCGAGCCGCTCCTGGGCAGTGGCCTGTCCTGCCTGGGCGGCCAGGAGGTCCGCCGGCACCGGAAGATCGTCATGCCGTCCCTGCACCTCGACATCCTGCACGACTTCCTGGACACGTTCCAGAGCGAGTCGCTGCGCTTCGCCGCCCGCCTAGAACAGCACGCCGACGACGGCCAGGACTTTGACGTGGCGCCGCTCTGCGTCGAGTACTCCCTGGCCGCGGCGTTGCAGACCATCATGAGCAGCGAGCTGGAGGACGGCGACGACGCGGAGCGGCTCGCGTTCGGCGGCGTGCTGCAGTCCGCCATGGACCTCTTCATGTACCGGGTGTGGCGGCCCTGGTTCCTCCACGACGCGCTCTTCAGGCTGTCGAGCCGGCGGCCCGAGTACGTCCGCACCATGACGGCGCTCAACGGCTTCACCGAGGGCATCATCACCAAGAAGAGGCGCAAGCTGGCCGAGCGGCGACGGCACCAGCCTCACGGAGAGGAGCAGAGCCTCACGGCCGCGCCGACGACAACGACGCGGCGACGGCGGCGAGCCTTCCTCGACAACATCCTGGACAACGAGGAGGGCGCCGCTCTGACCGACCTGGAGCTTCGCGACGAGGTCAAGACGCTGCTGTGCACCGGCTCAGAAACGTCAGCCAGCACCCTGAGCTTCGTCATAGCGGTCCTGGCCCTGCGTCAGGACGTGCAGGCCAAGGTGGTGCAGGTTGGTATCTCTCTCTCTCTCCCTCTCCTGTCCAGCAACTTGCGGCGGCTGCCGAGCGCCGTGCAGCTGGACAGTCCCGTGGCGCGCGCGCGCCGCCGCGGTGCCTACCCTTCAGGCGGCCCCCTTCCCTTGCCCCGGTTGATAAGCGTGCACCCTCTCCTCGCTGCTTGCAGGAGCTGGACGACGTGTTCGGTGGGGACGCCTCGCGCCCCGTCACCCTGGAGGAGCTGCCGCACCTGCAGTACCTGGAGCGGGTGGTGCGCGAGACGCTGCGCCTGTTCCCCGTGCTGCCCTTCTTCACGCGCAGCTGCCCCCGGGACGTGCAGCTGCCCTCGGGGTACACCGCCCCCCGCGGCGCGCACCTCACCTTCTTCCTGCCCGCACTGCACACCTGCCCGCGCACCTGGCCCGACCCGCGCCGCTTCGACCCGGACAGGTTCCTGCCCGAGAACAGTCGCGGCCGCCACCCCTTCAGCTACCTGCCCTTCAGCGCGGGGCCCAGGAACTGTGTCGGCCAGAGGTGAGCAGCCGAGCCCGAGCCGAGCCCGAGGCGTACTTCACTAAAATTTAAATCGTAAACCAATTTTTCTGTTTTGTCACAACTTTCACAATTTTTTCTGAATTTAAAATTTTTTTAAAAACTTTTTGTTTTATGGTGTGCACTAATTATTTTGATTATGTTGTTGTGAAGTACCCTCTGTTGAGCGAGAAGCTCTCGCGTACTCGCCTCACGCGCACCCCGTGACTTGAACACTCTCCCCTGTCCTCCTCCAGGTACGCGATGATGCTGCTCAAGGTGGAGGTGGCCACGCTGCTGCGCCGCTTTCACATCCTCCCCGCGGCGGACGGGCCGGCAGCGCGGGACGTCGCCGACCTGCCCATCAAGGTGACCCTGGTCATCGCCGTCAAGGGAGGCGTGCGCGTTCGGCTGCGCCGCAGGACAGCACCGTGCGCCGCCGCCGACACCGTGGGGCCGTCGCTGTGATAACGTGTCATTGTTTTCATAATTTTATAATTAAGACTGTTACCTGTACTCTGTACGCAACCTCAAGCTCACTTCCTTCGTTTTTAAAGAGAAATCGTTTTATTTCGTTGTCGTTTTTCATTCCCGCATGCTCCGATGGGGCGCTCCAAACCGCACTCACATATTCACATAACTAATAATCTCAGATAGTGCAGTGTGCCGTCACACTATTTTGACAGAGCGAGAGAGTACCTCGCGCAACACGAAACAAAAGCACTCCGGAAGGCCCACGTGGATGATGCATGACTCTGCACAAAGCATTCTGAACGCAGTGCCCCCTCCCCTTCTCCTCCACCTCCTCCTCTCCTTCTCCTCAAACTGATGCACTGCTACTGCGGCGCTCTTTTGTGTGTCGCGGGGATGCGAAGGATCGATTGGGTCTGATAGCGGCCGGAGGAAAAAGCCAGAGAAAGTGCGCGGGGCGGAGTGAGTGCAGCGGCGGCGGGGGCTGG